GTACTGAATGTATTGTCAAAGGGTTCATGTGCACTTTAATACAATAACATGTATTTGAGTCAACCCTGGTGCTGATCTTCACATCACAATGTAACAGACTTTGTTTGAGGTCTCTTCCTTGATTCAAGAGTTTTTCTTTGGGTCCTCCAGTTTTCTATCACTCAGTACAACCTTACAAGATAAATTCTAATTTGATCTCTGAGTTAGCACTGTGCCATGACTTACATCAGCTGAGAGATTGTTTCAGCCAGGGCTTGATCTGTAAGCTATTGATCAACCCAGAGTTATTTCATGATTAAATCTAATTTTAAGGCAATTTTTTTGGGAGGTAGGGGGGGGGAGGCATTCACGTTGTATGTATTGAAGCAAAAGACAGACCACCCCTGCTTCCCACAAATTTGCTATTTTCCCCTATTGATAATAATCCATTCTTATTTCCAGCACATGGGTTCCAAAGATGACTTCCAGGTCAAGATTGATGAGAATACTAAAGTGAAATTAGACGTAATGACAAACGATGTAAACCAGAACAAAGATAAAGTCATAAAGAGGATATTAAGTCTAGTGTATGACATAAGCCCAGAATTACATGAGAATTACAGGAACTGAAATTTCAATATGTAGTTACTATACTTCTCACTTAAGTTTGGCACAACAAAAGTTTTGTCACAAAGTTTTGCTGGTGAAGTGTGCATGTTGTCGGGAGCATCAACACAATAATCACTCTACACATGCTATATTGCCTGTGACATCAGCAGGGACTATTGACTAATTTTAATGGTGCCCCAAAACAAAACTTCTCTTTTGCCAAACTCAATTGAGAAGCACAGTACAGTTGATTTATTCAATAATAGGTAGGGTGATTGTATTCAATTTCTGAAACAAAAGTGTATAACAGTTCCTTTTAGCTTGAGCATTTGTACTTTTCCATTCAAGACCAATGACGTGTAAGAGGCTTGAGAAAACGATCCCTTTTTTGTTTCACAAACATTTTCATCACTTTCATGATTACTTATCACTCCAAAAGGTGCATAAGGGCAACACATCATTTGCCACAGATAATTTACATTATCTAAAAAGTACTAGAACTGACAGAATACTCATAGAAGAAACATGTGGACTAAAAAATAGGAAATAATTTACACCAAAATTAATTTGATATATGATGTAAAGTGACTGTTTTGTTTTTGGACTGTATTTTGTTTTATCGTGACTGTTTAGTAGAAGAACAGACTAACATACAAAAGAAAGCATTTCTTGGGTTAAAATCACTCATTAATTTTTATGATATTTGTCAGATGCTAAAATATATGATATTTGGGTAGTATGGGTGTGATGGGATTTGGCTAATGGGCTCTTATTGATATCATGAACTATATCAGAAATTAACTTGGACTCTTGACTGTTGTAATATTTGTTCTCTCATTTCTACTCTAATAATAAAAATATTGACGGCAAAATTAATAAGCGAAGTAGTTTATTCAAAATCTTAAATTTATACAAAATTCTATTTTACAGTGAGGACACTCGAACCTTGAACACTCCAAGTTTTTGTCACTTTTTAAAGATACATCTTACTCTAAATCATCCCTTGAACCAATCAATTGGAAATAAGATTTATTTTGAATCRCCTAATAGACCCCTTGCCAGAATGGCAGCTGAGTTGAAATTAAACAGTGAAAAACCAATACCAGCACTGGAAAGAGCTGCACCTTAACTTTATGAAAATTCATAATTTCCGGTGTCATTTCGGCCGAGAAAATTCGAGTTGAAAATCGACAAATTTACAGACGTGTACCTACAAATGTCTGTAAATTTGTTGATTTTCAACTTGAGTTTTCTCGGCCGATTTAACACCTGACCCAATGAATTTTTGTAGGGTCACGAAAGTAAAGGTGCTCTTTCTAGTGCTTTATACTGGTAGTTTTTGCTTAATTTAACTTATTTCAATTTTTGACCACCATTTTGGCAAAGGGTCTATTTGGATGACTTGTTGACAATTTAAACTTAATGCTTCATTTTAAAGGGTTTGAAACAGTAGAAAGTTCAGCAAATAATGGTGATCATGGTTGGCAGAACGTCCTCACTGTAATGGTTATCTAAACTATGAGTAGGCAAAACTATCACCTTACTATACTCTATATCACCTTTGATCATGGTTCACTTTTCTCTTAGTAGAGTGTTAAATATTTCTGCAAGCACCCCAGATTTTGTGCTTTTGGCCACCACTGAACTGATTGACTGATGGATGTATGAAATACCCACATTGGGCTACTTCATACTTGCCTTAGTCACAAAATTGATATAGTGAATTTTTCTCTCTGTTTACCTCTTATAAAATTAGGAAGCTTTGCTCTCCTGAGATTCAACAAATTTTCATTAAGTTGACTATCAAGTCTATGAAAGCCAAAAACCCAGGCGTATCTTGACGATGTAGAGGTAGCAGAAATATAAATAACGCTCTTAGTTGTTTCCTTAGGATGTAGAAACATGCAACAGTTCTCAAATTAATAGCTGTTTGTACCAGGCAAAATTCTGTCTTATAAATAAACTTAAATATGCATAATCTGACCAGAGCAAAGGCTTGTGTATATATTTCTTTTGTACTTTAAAAAATTCCCTAATAATCCAATCCAATACTGCTACATATAGTTTACTATTTAAAAACTCAGAAAAAAAATTATAATATATTATAGATATATTAGATGAATTTATTACTGACAAACATTCCCTAAAAAAATGATATCTCTAAATGCCTTTTTGGTATGATGGGTGTCTCAATCATTACCAGGATTCTTCATGGTTTTTCTTTCGTATTCRAATATTTTTTTACACTTGTGAGAAACTGAACAAAAGAAAGTGTGCAAGGGATTCTGGTAGTGGTTGTACCTCCTGTCATGGCTTTCATCACTTAATGGTGCAAAGCCTCTATTGTTGTTGAAAATACTTTCAACTTTCAGATCTGTAGATTGGGTCTTAACCCCTCCAACAGTAACAAGCACCAGATATCAACATCACTAGATGCATACCAATGGTACCACTGTTGACCAGAATCATTCTAGATTAAATACAATTCACCTTTTTGGGCCTAGCYGTCACGGAGTATAAATTGGTTTAGATTGTGTTACTGTCACCAAAAAGTTCGGACATTGTTCTTGAATTTCCGTATAAATGTACTGACTTTAAATGAACTATTTACTTGGTTCGTTTAGTAAGTTCTCTAAATACAAGTAAAGATCATTTTTCTAGCTTGATTGAAGCTTTTCTTACTGCTCTTAAGAGAGGTAACTAAAGAAGTCTGTACCTAAATTTTCTCAGTTTAAAGTCAGTGAATTTGTATGGGAATCCGAGAACAATGTCCAAACTTTTTGGTGACTATAACACAATCCAAGCTAGCGCCGAAAACGTGAATTACAATGATACCATTATATCAACATCACTGGATGTACTCATGTGCTACCCAATACTGTTGACTAGGACCTGTTTGTACAACAGGTGGATAGATAGTGCTAGATCCAACAGATAACTCAATGCTGATATCCAATAAATTTGTCCACTGTATAAGATTTATCTGTCAGATAGCACTATCCACTTTTCCTACGACCGGGCTCAGAATCATTCTATTTATGATCTAATGGGAAGTGGGTGAGCCTCTGTGTTAAATACAAACTTATCGAGAGGCACCACATCGTAATCACTAAACAACAGAAACAAGTATTTTAAAGTTTCCCCCAAGAAAAAGCTCTCCATTTTGTCCCTAAATCTATGGGATAAGTTCAGCACACTGTTGAGAGATGAATATCCTCCTTCTGGAATACGAGTATGATTTTCAAAAGCTTGGAAAATCTTCCAGCCATAGTCCTGGTACTTCTTGTTTTTTGTTAGTCTATACATGATGTATAAAGATTCCACTGTTTCCGGTCGTAAAAGATTGTGAGCATCCAGAGGCTGAAAACATGTGAAAAAGCACTTTAGAAACAACAGTTATGTATGCTATAGATTCAATTAGGGTGGGGTGAGTTGAATGGGTGTCAAGGCCTAACTGAGCAAACAGGGCAGCATTTTATCTATTAATAAAGAAAAACATGTTTTAACATCGGTGTTCCAGCTAGTAGCTGGTCTTCCAGGAAGCTAACAGTGTGCACTTTACCCCTCACCCACCCCCCCCCCTGCTCTGTTTTAAGTATTCATAGCTGAAGCTAAACCAATAAAAGAGAGGTTGAAAACAGATTGACATGGAGATCCTAAGGATTGAACGGCACACTATAAACCAACTAAGCTAAGCCTGCTGTTATATATGCCTAAAAACCAAATTCAGTATTATATTTTAAGAGCCTCATATCATTTTTCAGTCACTTGTTTTTCCATTAACATATTGCTCACTCCCTCACAGACTTGCTATTTATGATATTTTATGGAAAACTCGTACATAAATATAACATCAAACTCTTACCATGCCATAATCTCCATATTAATAGAAATTAGAGAACAACTTTTACCTTGACGATAATATCTTGAGACTTTCCTGATACCATGTTGAAGTATGCAATCTCCGGGCTGAGACCCGATGGCATTTGAGAGTACATCTTGTAGCAGGTTTCAATCATGTCTTCTGCAAACTTCATGTATTTTTTGTCTAGACCATTGTGTGTAGCTAATGCCATCACTCCAGGGAGAAAACACACAAGGTGATCCTAGAAACAAGATAAAATTAGTAGCTTTCAAACCGCTACTACAACTGCAACTTGGTAGTATGGGTGAAGCTATTCCAATAGTCCCTGTTGCAGTTCTCTGCACCATCTTGAAAGGTAGCCATGCCTTTACTGTGCATTAAAGCGAGACAAACAGTGAGCTTGCAATGACAGAGACCTTCTTTTAACACCTTATTATTGCAAGCTCACCATATATCCCACTTCAATGCAAAGTCACAGTTACCTTTCAAGATGGCATAGGGAACTGTGAAGGGGACTATTAGAATTCAGTGATTGAATGAGAACTTACCATTTTAGGGCTAAAGGAGGTGCCATGAAGTAGTTCTCCTACATAAAGCAACTTGCTGGGTTCAGATCTTCTTGATAATAGTGAGATGACCCCATCCATAGAATCAATGAAGTCAGTTTTGAGCCTGTGATGATAGGGGGGAAGGACAGAAAGTATATGTGTGAATAAGCATAACTGTATTGTTTTTAAAACAAAACAATGGACTACTTTGACAATGTGGCGGCTATCTTGGATCGCAAGGCATTATGGGGCATCCAGGGGGGATGGTTGGGGAGGGGGGGGGGCAAATAAAAATAAAGCTTTGTTATAGTAAAGTGGTCTATTGATATTTAACAGGGTAACCAGTCTTTTCGATCCACAATCATTTCGATCCAGTTGGTTTTGATCCACAATTGAAAAAGAAAAGTCGGGAGCAATTATCAAATACCCTGCAAATGATATGCAGTTGTCAGAACTCTTTGAAGAACGACGCTACAATAATAGATTTCATGGTCATTAAGTATGTGCATATGATTTGCGGGGTATTCTATAAGTATGCCTCAAAGGGGTATATCATATGGATCAAATGTGTACGTGGGTGGATCCAAACGACCTGAAATGACCTGGATTGAAATTACTGTGGATTGAAAAGACTGGCATTCTTTAACAGCACACCACAATAGAATACAACAAAATGATAAATAAAGACAGTACATAGATCACCTTTACCCATAAAAGAAAAACAAACACAATAGACACACTCTATATAGTACAAGTGTAATATCAAAGATATTAAGAAACCCTTACCAGTCTTCAGTCTTGCCACTTTGTATCCACTGTTTCAAAAGGTATTCATAATAACTATCTCCACGAGCACCGAGAGTTATGGTTGCTGATGCTCTAAAGTTCCCTGTGTCTGCATTGACAAAGATGGGCACCAAGCCATGCTTCTTTGGAAGGGTATGTAGGTGCTGCATCACCTTATCTACAGCATTCTAAGATTAAAAAATTAACAGAATATATACAGGTCATTTACTAGCCAGGTACTGGTTGTACAAAGGGTGGATAGTGCTATCCAACAGACAAATCTTATTCAGTATTCTGTGTATACATTTAAGGAATGGCCAATGTTTTAACATAGAAAATAAGAATAGTGCAAGCTAAGCAATCAGGTCAGTGTGCACTATCCATTTCTGGATGCATGCTCAAGCACACTAATTAACCAATCAGAGTGTGTGTTATAATCATGGCTAGTTATAATATTTAATGGAGCCACGGAAAGCGGTCATATTTCTTAATTATGATGCAAATCTTAAAACAGGATTTTTAATACCTTGTAATGAGCATTGCCTGTAGCATATGTAAGATCCCTGAATTCCAGCTGTATGGTACTGACTTCAGACACAGAGCTGTCAGGTCCCCATCTTGGAGGATGTGCACGTAAAGTCTTTAGATTTACATCAGAGTAGGGGATGCCTGATTCAGAAGTAAAGCAATGAAGCAAGCGGTTGCCCAAATCAACCTGGAGATCATTGAACATAATAATCATCATTTTAACATAAGATATTCTGAAAACTCACAGTTAATTTGGTAGCCCATGTCTACCTTTTGCCCAACAGGTGTAGAGTAGATAAAGTTTGTTTCAGTTGAGACTATAACATTTGCATTATCATTTAATGAAAGTGAGTTCAAATGGGTTCTAGAATTTCAGATTTTCAATTCACAATAGAGGTTTTGCACCATCACATGACAGCAGCCATGTTAAAGGGCAGGAACATTACAATTGTTTTACATTAAACAGAATTGAATTTCTGAAATAAAAGGATTTTATTGCTATGCCATTTAACAATGAACAGTGATAGTGCAAAACCCCTATTTTACTCAAAAAAGGYGAGGGGCACAAAATAAAAACCATACAAAATCACTGAGAGCTATTAATGCTGTGCACAAATTCTTGGTTCCCATTGGGCCTAATGTAAAACTATTTTTAGCGTAATATGGTCTCCCCAAATCAAAATCATATTTATATATAAGTTCTATAGAAATTTTTCTTTGAGGCAAAGGTTACATCTTTAGTTGGAGCTGTTGTAGGCAGAGCTTGATGATAGAATGCRCCATRAAATAGAGTAACCAATATTATTGCAGTTAACTACTGTATGAAAAATCAAATTACTTACAGCCTTTTCGAGAAAAATATCATCATTGGACAGGTGATACGCACTCAGTAATCCACCAAGAGCACGGATAGTTATTTCAAATAGATTGACATCAACATGTTTATCAAAAGTTAAATCATTCTGAACCCAATTACGGGCTTCTTTGAACTCCTCCTTCAGGTTCATTAAAAGCATGGTATCAAGCGAATCAATGATTGTTAAACCAACTCCAAACCACTCACTGAAGGTCTTTGATATAGGCTTAAGTTCATCATGGCCCCATGCATGTGCCTTATATCCCTTCCAAGCATGCTTAAAGGCTCCAATAACAGCTTTCTGTCGGTCATTAACCTCATCTTGTGGAAGTAGTTTGACACCATTTATATCCAGCACATGATAGTCACTATTTTGTTTATTAAGTTCACCATCACCGGCTGTATCTCCAAGACCTTCAACTGGCTTTATATCATCATTATTATTGTTATCGCCATGAACTTGTCCATTTTCCAACTCCACTTCTCTAACATTAACAGCTTCGTTAACTTTATTGTTTTTCTCTTGATGATGCAGTTTTAACCTTTCTTGAAGCTTCGGAGGTCCTCTTTTTAGGACCACACCCTGCTTCCTAGCTAATTCTTTAAGTTGATCTAAATGTTCGCGAACAATGACATCTTTATTTGGTCTCTTTATGGGTAAAATATGGTGATCGGATATTTTGTGACGTTTGTGATCAAAGATATCATTCTCTGCAGTTGTTATACTGTCAGTTCTCTTATGCCAAATTATTAATGATAACATAAATAATATACATGCGACCACGAAGACTGATCTCTGAAGTGAAGAAAGCCTCTTCCATCTCTGGGAAGAAAAAAAAAATTAAAAATTAAAAATGATACAAGAATACAAATATAATACTTAAAAATATAAAATCAAAAGAGTTTCACAGATTAAGAGATACATAAGATATATCTTTTAAATAAAAATATAAATTCGAAGGTGTTTAAATATTTATCATGAAAAAATGGCCTGCTATGCACTTCTATTAAACGTAAACACAAAACAAAAACAATGCAAGCATTTATTCCAATTTCAATTGGTAAATTAAAAAAATCATATACTTTTTTAAAAGCAGGAATAAAATTTAGTCTCTTTACTTTGTTCTACGTTGCTTAGAAAACGAGAAAAATGTAATGAATTGTAGACGYGGCTGAATAAAATTAACGAAAATGAAAGGCGATAAACAAGCTTGCCATCCAGTGTAGCAACACTCCTTTGTTTTGTCGTCTACACTAACATACGAATACACTATTTATTTTTTAAAGCTTTTTTTTTCCTGGATAAAAAAAATAGTCGAACTAAACATCTTTCTTGTTCTTTCGTTTGTATTCCTTAGAAAAATTACGATTTACATGTTGAAGATCGCATGACTATTATAAGCTAAACTGGTTAAATGTCATGATTAAGAATTTCAGTTCACAAATCCCGCCAGCAGTAAAAATTCTAACCTTTATTTTTTATCATAAAAAGAGGCATACGATTGATAAAAAAGGTTTTCTAGAGCCTAAGTTTAAAAACTAAAGTTTAATATAACCCCAGCATATAATCGGCCATTCTCGAAGATGATTATTTTTGCTAAACACTTAAAACTAATTGACTAAAAACACCGGTATCCACACTGACTTACTCTGTAAAAAGTTGTACTTCTCCTGTTCTTGCTGTTGTCATAATCAGTATCTTTGGTCGGTATAGATACGGTTATAAAGTCCTGAGGCGATTTCCACTTCCCAGACACTGCCATAATATCATGGAATTCAATAGAATTAGATGATAATTTTTTTCGATAGTCTTCATCAAATCTTTTCTTCCGCCATTTTTAATTTTTCTAGTGCCCAGTCCACTGACGAGAGACGCGACGGAATGAGTTGGAGCGTCATGATTGGCTAGATTATGACTGACTTGAGCAAATGTACTGAAATGGAGTTACACTGCTGAAAAGTAAATAATTTATTACGTAGTATCTAAATTATCTAGTGTAAACTATTCACCATTTTGACGTCAACAAGACGTTTTAATTCAAAGCCAGAAGGGGAGGGGGAGTCCCGTATGAGAATTGAATCCTTTATACGGAGGAGCTATACTTCTTTTTTGAGCTTCAGCTAATCTCCACAACCCCTTTTGATTTAGGCTGCGTTCATAATGTATGGCAGAGGAGGGGGGGGAGGCAGGTGGAATTGAAGGGGGATCGGGAAAATTTTGGTAGGAAAAAGGGGGGATGGGCAAACGTTTATCAGAGATGCAAGGGATTAGCCAATATGGTCTGGGGGCCGGCTAGAACATTTTCATGCGTAGTTCGTACACCCAAGGGCACTAGCTAGAAGGATTTAATCGCCGTCAGGTCTTCAGTCCATACGCCGCCTCAGCTCTGCGGATGTCTCGGGGGTATGGCACAGTGGAATCGATTTTTTTCTTGAATTTCCCGGTTAGTGAGTTCGAATCCCATCGTATCCAGATAAGAATTCATCCCTTCAAAGCATACATTATCATTTGGCAGTATGTTTTTACTATGAGTAACCATACTACCTAATTCCTTTTGCTCATATTCAGAATTAACAGTTAAGTGCATTAGCAATGTCGATCGAAAACGAGTGTGTTTTCTTGATTTTAATCTCTTCTTTCGTATACCAATAATACTTTGCGGCTTTGGGGGTAACCAGAGGRAAAAAACGCACTTATTTTGTTGAAGGCTGATCAGACAATGTTGAAAATACCTCTTTTGATATCCAAGTACAGAATAGTATGGAACAGAAAGCGATCCATGCACAAGTCAAAATCCTGGATACGTTCCTGTTAATGTAACATCCCCCTAAGAATCTTTGAAACACGTTTTTGGTCAAAAGCTTTATTTCGAGGTTTTCGCAGTTTTCGTATGGATAAGTAGCTTCAATACTGACTTAGCACTGTTCTCATTGTAACATGCCCGGTTGATCATGACAACAGTCAAGAAAGGGAAATCAGGTAATACACTACTATTAATCAAAGTCATGTAAATGAACCGAATGATTTATTTGAGCGAAGGCAGTGTATTGCCGTTTTCCCTGTTGTGACCTTCTCATGGTCCCCATGTATATTTATGTATCTTAACGATTTATTTGATGGACAGCAGTGTACTGCCCTAATTCCATGTCACTACTGTTACAGTATAGTTTCCCATGTACCTTGTCAAGGTTTCCATGTGCCTTAGTGTATACTTGTATGTACCTTTATATACTCTAACAATATATTTGATTTACGGCAGTGCACTGCCCTATTTCCATGTCACTACTGTTACAGTATAGTTTCCCATGTACCTTGTCACGGTTTCGATGTACCTTTATATACTCTAACAATATAAGAATATATTTGATTGACGGCGATGTATTGTCCTATTTCCATGTCACTACTATTGTCTCTATCAGTGCGTTGTAATGAAACAATGTTATAATGGTGGATCATAAATAGATTACGACATCCCAAAACACTGGAAAGGTTCCTATAATTGCAACATATAACTACAAATACGAGAACTATTATAGTGATCAGTGATTACTCGACTTTGTATTAAAGACTGTTAGAGGCGTATGGTCAACGACGAGGTCTTGAAATTTTGCCATACGCTTTCACTCGTATACATCTTGGAGAACGAGAAGAGGTGCTTGATGGTTGATTTCACAACTGGTTTCACTAAGTGGAGAAAATATCTTGGAGTTAGTTTTAGATATAGTCTTCCCAGGTGGGAAATACAAACAGCGAAAAYATCAATGATAGCAGAAGAAAAAAGAACTATTCCAGCAAAATATGAGATGCAGAAGATGTAGCAGAAGTAACATCAAGCAGCCACAGCATTTAGAGTAGTAACAAACAAAAGCAGTGACAAACAACAGCACCGGCAACAATTTTCAACAGCAAAAACAATAACAACAACAACAACAAACATTAGTATCAGCAACAACTGTAGCATGTGCAAAAACAACAACACAAAAACAACAACAACAACGCGAGTATATGAGCAACAATATCAGCAGCAACAACGAAACAGCAGCAGCAACAACACGAGCATTAGCAATAGTATCACCAGCATTATGACAACTGTAGCAGCAAAAAACAACAAGAGCAAAGCAGCATTAATTATAACAACTTAACTACACGATGAGGCTACATTCAAGATCAAGAACAGAGTTGAATCCAATATTGCTTACATTCTGTCTCAGATACGTCAGATTTAGATTCCATAACATGGTGAGTCACATTCCTCGCAAGGGACTTGAATAAATCCTGAAGAAACGAATAGAAAAGAAACCTTACATTCTCGTACCCAGAGCCTCCTCATAACGAAAATACCTACGATTTGGCTAATGAGTAGGGTCTGGGAAAGAGAATGAAAAACATTCAAGTGCCTATTATACCCAATATAACTCGATGTTTTCAGTCGGTATTCATTCTACATGACGTGAAAAGATGAATGTCAAAATATTTTCGTATGATTTGAGTGATAGCATCATATTCAGTAAACACTCAAAATCGTATAAAAATACTTTATCATTCAACTATTCCGACAAACGTTTGTTTCAAAATCAAATTGACCCAACATACATTCAACATAAAAAATCACATCCCAACATTGTTGGAAGACCAAGACGAACGGTCCCCATATTTGACACAAGAAATGTTGGGTGAATGTCGTGTCAACTAGCTTGAGCTCGATTTTTGTGCCTTTAAGATCCTATTACACTGTGCCATTCTCTCAGCAACTTGTCTCGCAATGCCTGACAAATGTAGCGTTGCAAGTTACCGAGGTCAGGTGTTAGAAAAGTTGCTAGAGAAGTGATACTCTGGGCAGTGGCGATGCCAGTGCAACGCTACGCGTCAAGAAAAAAAGGAAGGAAGGAAGGAAGGGAGGAAGGAACGAAGGAACGAAGGAAGCCGAAGAAAATTGTGAGACATGTTGATGGGGAAGTTACACAGTTTTACAGAGCCTTTACTGCATTACCGAGGCTCACCTTGCTTGATATTCGACCATTCTTTAAGTATGGCGTCAAATGCTTTACAACGACTGATGCAACTTGTTTTACGGGGCTTCTTGATGACGTCCGTGAATGCAGTGAAATTGAGGTTTTCTTTGGAGTAACTGAAATTGACTTTGATGTAAAACTTTTTATTGCTAAAGTTGCATTTTTGGTTTTGGATTTAGAGAAGACAGCGTTGTTCAAATATTTATTCATCTTCCTCGCTTCTTTGTTATGTTGCTTTGGCGAGTGATGATGGTGATGATGATGATTCTTATTTACCGTTCTAGAAACGCTTTTATCTTTATCTTTCCCCAAGGTGCCTTTCTTTTGTAACATTTCTGATGCAGTAACAAACGTTGAAGTTTTGCATGTTCTCTTCGATGTATCTTCAGCCATATTTCTCCAAGAAAGTGGCTCGATAGATGGCTCCTTTTTTTCTGGTTCTCGARAAAGATTATTCCTCAAATCGTCCATCATGTGAGCAGTTGCCTGAAAATCATCCATATCGCCAAACACTTCACTACAATCCACAGACGGGTCCCAATCACAGTCCAAATTTAACTTGGGCTTTTTGGAAGACCTGGAAGATAATTGCGCCGATTCTTTCGTTTCATGAGAATCGTTACTGTCCAAAGATCGCTTTCGCATTGGAAACTCTGATAACGAAGGAGAAGAAGGAGAAAGAGTTGTTGCACAAAGTGTCAAACGTGGGTCTTCATGCAGTGATCTTTCCACCAGTTCTTTGGATGTTGTCGTCGTCGTTGTCGTAGCTTTTGCCAACCTATTCGATTCTTTCGCAAAAAAGCTCGTAATAGAAGCAGACGAAACTGTATTCTTCAGTTTATTTTTTCTTTTCGTTTTTAGTTTTGTGTTAATGCTCGACTTTTGTCCACGATTTTCCTTTTTGGAAATCTTCTTGATTTCGAAGTCTGAATCCAGTAAACTAGAGGTCTTGTCTACGGACTCTTGACTGGAAGTTAAGTCAGTAGCACGATAATTCTTCTTGGAAGTGTTTCCACGATGTTTCTCGCTATGGTCCCTTGAAACCATTTGACAAGCCTTGACGAATACGGCACCCTTACATTTTCTGGAAGTATCTTCCATTAATTTATTGTCAAAATTATCTAAACTACTGATGCCAAAATTATCATTACTTAAGAAATCTGAATCATAGTCTGAGCTCGAAACTAGTTGACTAGCTGGTATGAATGAAGATGGCTTTGGCTTGGTGCTCCGTGCTCTATCATTAGTTATACCACTGTTTGCGTCACTATTTGAAATCTGCATAGGTTTGTCCGTGAGAGTACTAGTATGAGATTCGATATTTAATGAAGTTTGATCACGCGACCAGTCGTCCTCAATATCAAGTAAGTTGACATCATCAAGCTCAAATTCATCATCGAAGTCATATATGGTATCTTCAGCGACTGGCAGCCTTCGTTTAGCGGGTTTCTGTACTGATTTAGCTTCTTCTTTCTCGCTACTGGGCTTGTACAATTGGCCTTGTTTAGTGGCAGCTTTAATGTCGTTAGCTTTCTTCAAGATATTAGCCCTGTAAGTGGTATGGACCTTACTGGCACGGAAAACGCTATATTCCAAGTCAATAGCCTTGTCACCCGCGGCGAACAGTAGATCGTTCAGATTTTCAACTGCGCCTTCTGCTCGAACGTTTGCTTTCAAAGCGTCTTCTATCATTTTGAGGCAGTGAAGTCGCGCCTGTACAGATAGCCCAGTAAGGTGCGCAAAATTCGATGCCTCTTTCAAAGGGCAGCCCCACCCTGGTTCCTCAGGGACAGGGGGAGCACGGCTACGAGAAGAACTGCTACTACGTCTTCTTTTCTTGAATTCACTTCGAATGAGATTTTGTCGGAAGGATTTCTCGTCGTCGGAGTTATCTTGTTCTTGGTCGCTGTAGTCACCCTCGAAATGTCTGGAAGAAAGGAATGAAAACAGTTTGATGAGAATCGAAGTGCGATGAATCGAAGCTATGCATGAAAATATAGTGGACCTTTGAAGGAACAGCCCCGGCCAGAAGATTTATATTACTTTATATCCGTGCGGGGCTCTTACGTAAGATACCCTCCACACCACACCACACGCACTACATTCTATATTTACAATATACAACACTCAACTGACATGTTGATTTTTACGGATGGAGGAAAGCCGGAGAAAAACCCTCGTGGCAAGGGAGAGAACAACACATCAAACAAACTCAACTCAAATTTGGTCCAGTTTGAGCCGGGGCTCGAACCCGGAGCAGTAAAACACTACGCCACTCATGCCACCCTGTTTCACGTTTTGACAACGTGAAAGCTAGAGCATAACATAAACTCGTCCTAGGATTTTGTTCATTATAATAAGATCCAAGGGCCATGGCAATAAAGGTTTTTTTAGCCCCTTCTGTTATACTTACTTTACTTCGTAACCTTTTTTGCCCCCACCATACAACTCAGGGTCATTCCCATTTGTTGGTCCATGGCTTATGTACGTACTTCCACTACCCTGTCTGGCGGCTCCTGCGAATGCACCTCTGTGCCAAAGATCCAGCTGACAAGATACGAATCGAGGATTCTTGCAGCAGTCACATCCCTTGTTACACTAAAAGAGTAATCGTTTTGATTTCTGTTAGAACAGGGTTGCAATAGTAGAACCCCGATTAAAGTGGCAAAAAAGCAACTATGCAAGTTGCCTGTAGGGTTGCCAAATTATTCTTGAGACGAATGAAAAAATTCACGTGATTTCAGCGATACTATTTCCTGCATTTAGGCGCTCCTAGCTAGGAAGGAAGTATCAAATAAGCCTTTCCTAGATCCACCCCAGCCCAGCATGGGAGATGGACTGCGGAGCACCCTAAAACTGGAGTGGGGGGCTAAGATTTGAAAATATAAGAAAGTTTYATGGGGTGGGGGTAAGAATGGAAAATATAAGAGACTAAACCTATATAAAAGGAAAAAGGTGAGGGGCTATATATCACACCCAGCCCCTCCCCTTCCACGGCCTTGAGAGAAAATTACAGGATAGTAACAGTACCTTTGGTTTGGTGTCACCAAAATATGATGCAATCTTTCCATGTCTGCAACTGCAATAAAGATTACAGATGATGGTCATGATATAAAGATGTGGTTGATGATGATGATGGTGGTGGTGGTGATGATGATGATGGTGGTGATTATTATTTATTATTATTATTATAATGATGATGGTGGTGATGATGATGATGTGTTTGATGATGGTGGTGGTGGTGATGATGATGATGATGATGATTAGGTCGATTACCTTGGTTCCTCACAATATTTCACTACAGCTTCAAAACTTTTTTGTACGGCTTTGTTTTTTTGGGCAGCATTCTTCTTTTTCTATAAAAAAAAAAGAAAAGAAAAAGAAAAAAGCGTTTAATGATAAATCATTATCTATTCTTTGTTTGCACATGTCATAGCTGCCATCTTGATTAAATTCAATAAAAGAATTTTTCAATGAATCTATTGTTTTATTGCACATTTAGGGTCAATATCTGTGTGATTAAGCCATGAATAAAGACCATATATTCAGTGAAGTGATACGATATCACTTCACGGTAAACTGGAAACTGGAATCGTTTTTCCTTTTATCGACCTTAAATGTGTAATAAACATTATTTCATGTTTAGAGCCTGATATCTTTTTTATTCCCTGGTTTTCCATATCATATCACTCGCTCGCAGACTCCCTTGTTCGCGATATAATATGGAAACTTGTGAATAAAAACGATATCAAGCTCTTAACATGTGTTAATCTCTATATATCTCTGCCGTGTCTTTTGTTATTTCACTCCTTTGGGAATGATTGAAAACTAACACTATAAATCATAAATATATATATATATATATTTTACATACTTCTCTTCTTTTCATGTCATTCTTGATAAGAAAGCAAACCTGGTCTCTATCACTCCTGTAAGTAAAGAAAAGCATAGAGTTCAGTATTGGAACCTGTACTAGTTATAATGTGGACAGGATAACTGGGACCACTTTTACAAACTTAACCAATCATAATATGGGACGATGAAAACAAAGCATTCCTATTTATACCAATCCACAGCAAGTAACAAAGCCTACATCTAATTATGAATCTGCTGAACAACTAAAATTAATAAATATAACAAAATACAATAATTATAATGAATTGGAATTGACAGTGGTTCCACTTCAGTGGCTCTTCTTCCAATGGAATTTAGAAATTGATTTTTGCAGAGAGAGAGAGAGAAATCTGGAGAGAACCAACAAACAACTCTACTAGTTAACATACCACTCAGAGTCTGGAAATTGAGCCAGATTTGCCTTCGTGAGAGGAGAGCCCTCTCAACACATGTGGGAATGAAACACCATGACTGGATTATGAGGTCATTTTGCTATCTCCTGAGTAGCTAAATTTTTTTACTCAACATTGTGACTAGCTAACTGTAAAGGTGTAAAATTAATTTTATGCAAACTCACAACACAAACAGTCAATCGATAAGATAATGAAAAGTTCTATAAATATCATTGCTGCCAGGCTACACATGTGCATATTGCCAAGGGTACTGCCCGGGGGGGGTACTCCCCTATATTTGCTATACGGGTATGTGCCGCCCTATAGGGTATGGTTTTCTGGCTTTTGGGTTTGGGGTAGGGTATCATTTTTTGACATTTTGTCTGGGATAGGGTATCATTTTAGTCTGGGATAGGGTTAACGATTTGTTCGTTTTAGTCTGGCGAATAGGTTACGCTTTCTTCCGGCACAAAAACAATGAAAACRTTAGTAAATATTGATTGCAATCTATTAAGTAACCTTTTCTGTCTTTTAGTCTGGGATAGGGTGTACAATTATTAGTTTTAGTCTGGGGTAGGGTATGTAAAATCAAAATTTTAGGTCTGGGATAGGGTTAGGGTTTTGAGGTCCTGGCGGCACACCCCTACCCAAGTTGGGGTGGTAGTACCCCCCCCCCCCCTGGGGGGTACTGACTATAATTGCTGGATGTGTGTGACAGTGGTGATGGGCAATATCTATAGTTCTTTTTATTCTATTATTACCTTGAGTAGTAAAGACGACAAAATGCTGGTTTGCCATCTCTTCCAGCCCTGCCAGATTCTTGATAGTAACCCTCCATTGATTGCGGCATGTTCCAGTGAGCAATAAACCTTTAAAATGACAAGCAGTTGCTAATAATACCTAATTTGGTAATAGTAAAGAATATGGCACCCAAGTTAGTGTCAACTCCTGAGTGGGGTTCTGCAAACCCCTAAAAAGAGAACTTGGGTTTGGTCCTTACATAATTTTAGCCCTAAAAGTACTACAAAACACAATAGCTTTCCCTTTTTCACTCCTAAATGAGGGGGAGTGACTTACAATTTGAACTCCTAAAACATTCAGTGATCATCCAGGGGTGGATCCAGGATTTTGTTCAGGGAGGGGTGCTGCGCACAATGTTAACCCAGGGAGGGGTTCACCTCTTAAAATCAAAGAGGAAAAACAAAGTGTAACCAAACAAAGTGTAACCAGGGAGGGGTGTGCGCCCCCTGCACCCCTCCCCTGGATCTGCCCCTGTCATCCCCTCCCTTTGTTATATGGGAGTACTCCACTCCCCCAGGTGTTTGTTGACCAATTTGTAAACTACATATTAATCAGTTTGGTCCTAGACTTGATGTGAAAGCGTTGTCTTGTAATAAATGTAAACGTCAACTGGAAATCAACAGTGCACAGACACTCTGCATACCATACTACCATACACAACAGAGTTTCTTATGGTCTGAACTTTATACTGACACTGAGTATTAAGTCTCATTCTTTACTTTTACCTCCATCTTGTTTGAGAATTATTGTTCTCTCAACAGATGACTAGCTACATGATTACAGAGGCAAATCTGCGATATTGTCCTGAGCAATCTGATTGGCTCCCAAAGTGGCCAGAATAATGCAGGTCTGAACTTGCCTTGCAACTCATAAAAGCRCAAGTTCACATTGCAAGTTGTTTTTATTTACTGATATTGTTTGGTCCAGATAATGGGATATTAATTTCATGATCTTTTAACTTGTTATAGAAATTATCCACTTTTGGTTTGTCCCAAATTCCAGTTACACTCGGTGAATAATCTTTCATTAAAGCTCACCTAACATTAGCCTTATCCACACCCATGCCAAAACTGATGGTAGCACAAATCACTGCCACTTTACCATCCATCCACTCTTGTTGAACTTCTTCTCTGTTGCTTGGCTTTAGACCTGTGACAAAAAACGTCTGTGAAAATTTTGTCTGATTGACATTTTATTATATAGAGCGCTACGCTTTGACTCGTCTGCAAGGTGTCCTATTTAAACGTAGTGATTATGCTGTGGTTCTTTTGTTGTTCTCTGGGTCTGCAAACTCTGGCATTTCAACAGCTTGTTGTGAAACTGGGTTTTTACTACCGCCAGGCAAGAATATAAGAGGTACTGACTGATTGATAGGAAACAAAAAATCGAATTTCAGTGTACATCTAGCAATTATTGAGTTCAGAGAATATCAAAAACCTCAGTAAATAATGAAGTAAAACAATTATTTTCAAAAATCTGCAGCTAAGATTTTTTCRGAGCTCTTATTTCATATGGTTGCTATTATTTCTGTAAGGCAAAGAGAAGCTCATTGTCCAACCTGCATGATATGGCTTTGACAGTAGTCCCTTTCTTGTTAGCCTGGATGCAACTTCAACACATGCATCTCTAGTCCTACAGTACACGATACCACTACCCTAATAATAATAATAATAATAATAATAATAATAATAATAATAATAAATGATAAATTTAATCATGATAAACCAATAATAACTCTTGATGAGCTACCCAATTGTTTCGCACGACTGCCTCAAAATTCGCACAAGTTGCTTTGCACAAAAATGACCTTTTCACACAATTTGCAAGAAATACGTTTGTTGGGCAGTAAGAATGACCACTTACAACTCATTACTTAAAACTTGTGCAAAAAGGTTATTCAGTTGTGCTAAAAGACAGTAGTCCAAAAGGAATGGTAACCCTTTAAGAGACTAACCTTTGAAGATTCTTGGGAATGAATTGCTGACTCAGCAAAGGACTTCAGATCCTCATAAGGTTCATGTAATAGTTCTTTAAAACTAAATATACCAAATGGATGTTAAAAATTATGACATAAAAATAAAAATATCTTCATAGCATCGATATTGATGAAACTATAAATTAGGAGACAGTATGTTTGATGTTATATGGCAGACGAACATTGGCTAATAACATAGTAGGCACCAGCCTCAAAAGTGATTATCTGGCTTAATGATCAGTTCCATGGTAAATATCATAGATCAAAGTAAGAACACCAAAAAGAGAGAGAGAGAGAGCTGGAATATGAGTTGCATTGAAACAGGAACATCAGTGGTGTAACGAGGATATTGCCTTTGGTGAGGAGGATGGGGAAGGGGTTGGGGGGGTAAAACCTGTTTTCAGATCATTGTTAAGTCAAACTTATCACATGACTACATATAGATGATAGGTTTCTACAGCTTGAGGATAGTGGARGGGGGACAGGCCCCCTCCTTTGGCTACGCCCCTATACATAACAGGGCCAGCTTACCTAACATCATAGAAAAGATTAGGCCTGTAGCAAGGTGTTTTAAAAACTGCAGTTGATTCTGGATTAAAACTCAGAGAACTCAAGATGTCCTCCTTCACACGAGCAGTTGCCGTAGCTGTCAAGGCAATCCATGGCACATCTGAAAATGTAGTCTTAAGACTTCCTAACTTGAGATAATCTGGTCGAAAGTCATGTCCCCACTGTGAGACACAGTGGGCCTCGTCTACTGCAAAATAGGACAAAACTTCTCTCCTATGAATGGATTTTAAGATTTGTAGGAATCCAGGTGTTGCAGCAAGTTCTGGTGTAACATAAAGTAGTTTGACATTAGGTGTCAGAGTAAAAAGATCTTTTGTGATCCTTTTACGTTCACTTTCTGGGATTTTGGAATTTAATGTTTCTACTTGGACTTTGAGTGCTTTTAGGCTGGACACTTGGTCTTGAATGAGAGCTATGAGTGGCGAGAAGACAATTGTGATTCCTGAGGCTAGGACTGCTGGGAGCTGGTAACACAGTGATTTGCCTGATCCTGTGGGCATGGATATGAAAACATCCTTTTTACCTGAAATACAAAGTGTAACTCACTTACTAATGGATATCATTTCTCTTTGAGAGATGTGATGATCTATAACTAGTTGGTAGAGCCCCAGGGGGAAGGGGTGTTCCGCTGGGATTCTGAAAGGGGTACCCTGTTTATGACAAAAAAACTCAGATTTGTAGACCCTGTTTATGACAAAAGATATAATTTATTGCACTGAGTTCCTGTTTCAATAATATCATGTCATCTCGTGCATTGTTTTTTTTACRACCACAATAACCAGTTTCRGTCAATACAAAAGTAGAAACCCTGAATATGACAGGAAACTCAGGAAGAACTTGGAACTTGAGTGAAATTGCATACCCTGTTTATGACAAGAAGCTTGAAAACCATACCCTGTTCAGCGGATCATTCCTGTATAGTCCATGGGGGTACCCCCACCACCCTGGGGTAGAGCAAGCTCATTGCCATGAGAGCCCTCACTAATTGAATAACACCTTGACTTACTTCCCAAAGACTTGAATGAATGAATAAACGAATGAATGCACAAAAGCAAAAATAAAAGGAAAGAAACCTTGAGTTCATATGTCTATTCTTTATGGTTTTGCAAAAAAGAATTCTCCAAACAGGGTGATTTTCCATTAATTGAATCACAAATCCAATACGCTTGAAGGCCACATCTTGTTGGAGCTGAAGAGAGCTCACACATGCAACCCTGATGCGACAAAGGTGACACATATTTCATTCTTTACCACGTGAAAAAAACGTTAACTGTGGAATCTTTTTAGTGGAATATAATAATCTTGAAAGATAAAAGTGCTTAAATTGTAGGCATTCTTGACAACGCTGGAATCAAAAAATAAAATTCTTTGAAGTAAAAGTAACTCAGGCAAAAGCGAACATTCGATTGAATTAAAAATTTATCAGGAATTGCGGTAATTTTTAAAGCCAAAAGAATTGAATATTAAATCTCGTTACATTTACTTACCTTCATACACGGCTTTAATGGCATTTTCCTGTAGCTCTGACTTAAAACCAGGGAATTTGAACACATTTTTGAGCGTTTTTTCTAACGCAGAACCGGCCATGGATGATGTTTTGGTTTTATTACATCCAAATGCAARTCGATAATAATTCGTTGAACCATACGGAGAGCTATCGACCAATAAAATTTTACGAATCTTAACCACAGGTACCCCAACCTGGAAGACGTAGAGATTGAAAACTCAAAATCACAACACATTTTTCTTAAATTTGATCGTAAGGGGCTTTTAAGCTTTCCAGATACGAAATAATAAGCTTTTAGAATGATGCACAAGAACTAGTAATTGGATTAATATATATTTTATTTCAAGTTTATTACGATGTTTGGGTTACCTGTGTAATATGTCCCATGGGCCATTATCGGTAAACATGACGTCATGGTCCGACTTTTGTTCTAAAATTAGAAACATTTGTAATTGCACGCAGATTCAAAAGTAGGAAGTGAAAACCAGGTGTTTTTGGTTATTTCTTCATAATATATTAGGAAGAAAACGTCTCACTTAATTTTTGTCATTCAGAGCTGAAAGCTTAGGTATTTTTGAGTTTTACAATCGAATCAGATTACTGGAATATTGACCGTTTTGAACTATTTCTGGAGATCTGAAACTTTCAACGTTCCGTCGAAGCAAGCGTTTTATTATTCATTACAAATGGATCCAACCGCTTTTGCAACGGTAAAATACGAAGTTCGCCGCCTTCCTTGCACCGATGATAAGGTACAAGCCATCGTGTATGCTCAAGGGAACTTTTATGCCGAGCAAGTTGCCGAGTTGCTGTACGAAAGCAGTTTTGACGAAGACAAGATGAAGCTCTTGCAATCAGCATGTCCCAAAATGCTGCCAGCAAGCTGTGTTGGTATTCTACCCATACTGAGGTCATTTAGGTTGGATAACAAAAGAGTACACGCGGTMGAATTGCTGTCAAGGCAAGTAACAGATCCCTTAAACTTCCCTATACTGAATGAGGTATTTCCATATGCAAAGGAAAGAGATACTATCCGAGGTATCATGACAAGGCAAGCGAGCTGTGCTCCCCCACCACCACCCCCTACAGTTGTACATAGTGTCGGTAACCCCTACCCGTATGGAAGACCTACACCAAGAGTGGACCCCAATGATCCTGTCTATYGAATGGCCGAAAAGACAGTGGATGTTGTTGCAGGTGGCATTGCATCTATGATTGCACCTCGAAGTCGACCTGGTGTAGTTGTCGGCAGGCCAGCTGCTGTTGTTTATCAGACAACTGTTGCAAGTGGCCCATGTGTTGCTGCTGCCTCCCCAGGAATACAGGTGATTCAAACAGGACCAGGCTTCCAGCCAGTACCAGGTGTACAGTATGTCCATACTACACAACCACCACCACCATATCCTCAGCAGCAATATTATCAGCGCAAGTAGATATGTAACAGGTGCTCCTATATCAGGACTTAAGAATAGTAAAGACATATATAAATAGTTTTGCATGAGGGTAATAGATTTAAGAACAAGTAACTCATTGTTTTACAAAGGATCACTTAGGAAGCTTCAATAATACAGGAACCACAGAGCCATTTAGTCTTAGGTAGGAATTGGAGGGCCTAATCTATGGGGTTCAAAGGATGCCCCCCCCCCTGAAAATTTTGAAATTGAGGCTCTCAGAAATGCTCTTGAAGTGTTGCTGTTTTGAGGGGCAATTACAACATATTTATTTCAACAGCTCAGAAAAGAACATTTATTTTTGGCTAAAAATATAAGGGGGCTATATAAGCCCTTGTAGCTCTGTGTTCCCTGTGATATTGAGTTCATGAAGCTACTTTATTAGTCATTTTACTCATAATGTCACATTTTATGCTATACCAAATGTGATATCAATGTTGTATAAAGCTTTGAGAAACTTCCAGGTCATACTATTCCATTTGATAATTTTTTTTTTTTCAAATAGTGCATGAAGGTTCATATTAACCCTTTCAAAATAACTACTATAGTAACCTGTAGTATTGTGGACTCTCATTTAAAGACTGTTAGAGGTGGGGATTAAATGATAAAGGCAGTAGTGTGCAGGCAAAAATGTGTGGTTTGCCTGCTGACCCTGATTAGCTCCTTCCCCCCATAGAATGACAGCCTGTCATACCAGCTATTTTTTAGACGGAAGAAAAGCAAACTCTTTAGTCATGTAATATTTAGCAATTATTAGTCCTCAAGCCCAGATGGGCTATGACTCAATAGCCCATAAGGCTAAAGGCCAAATGGGCTATTTAATTGATTCATAGGCCATGAGGGTGAGAAGACTTGTTTTAGGAGGGGTGCAGGGGGTGTGCACCCCTCCCTGGTGCCCCTACTTCAAAAATAACCAATACTGTTTTTCCCTTTGATTTTAAGGGGTGCACCCCTCCCTGGGTTAAATTTGTGTGCAGCACCCCTCCCTGAACAAAATCCTGGATCCGCCCCTGTATTGCCTAGTAGTAGCTCATCCAATCAGAATGCAGCATTGATGATGGACCTCTAGTTGGATTTGACTAATGATTGTTACATGAATTTAGTTTATTAATTAATATTATGTATTTCAGAGATATTTGATTATACAATTGTTAGTGAACTTATCAATTATATATTAATTATCACATTATTTAGAAATAGGGAAACATTGTTACAGCTTATTGTTAGATAGGTACATAAGCATTAAAGTGTGATTGGAAACTACACTTAGTGTAATACAACACAAACGATGAACAGTAGAAATTTCTTCGCCTTTCTTCTTTTCAGTATTGAAATGATTCCAAGCTAGTTAGCTATTTTTGTTGTGCATCAATCTGTCGCTAGTACAGGCAATTATGAGTTGAAATAAGTACTGGTTGTTGCATGTCAGACTACTACGTTTTTAGATCCCATACAAATCTTTATGAATTATCTGATTTTATATATTTGGTGTTATTTCTCCTAAAGTCAACATTTTGAGTTGAAACTTCGCTTCTTTTCTAAAATCGAGGTGCTCTTTTCATTTCAAGTGTTCATACTTTGATAGGAAGTAGTCACGTGATCTACTGTTACTGTCACTGTTATAGCGCAAGTCGTCTAATGTGCTCGCGTAACCCCAATCTCGTACCCAGAGCCTGCGTTTCTTCTGGCCTGCAGCGAAGAACGAGGGCTCTGGCATAATCCATTTTTTGGACTTCTTGAACAGCCATACATACTCGATAATATTCACTACTTCTCGCGTCAAATCGATTTGCTATCGTCATAGCAAGATCCTGCGCATTTCTCTAGTTACGGTATCGTCTGTTCCAGTCGTTGTCTCTTTTTACCTTTGACTATGATCTAATCCTGAAACAACCTCTGGGCTGATCAAAGTGAGGGTACGTACAGCTTGTTCACAGATCGATTGTGATTCTAGTTCATTCTCGTTAGGTTTTCCAGAGGAAGGAAAACCGGAAATGACTCGAACAAAAACCCTCGAATATACCCAACAAACCCTACTTAATTGAGGGGACTGGCCATTCCCCTCAATTAACTATGATGCGAGCTCGATGTATGATTTGTCGATGAGTGGTGATAACTAGTAGAACTAGTGTAGACTGCGTCGGTGTTTCTGAATAAAACAGTAGGAACTTGTAGATAAATTGGATCACCGCAAAAAGCTTTGTGAAACTGACGTTTCGGACGTTAGTTCTCCGTCAAAGCAAGTGCAAAATGAAGAAGGACTAACGTCCGATGAAGAACTAACGTCCGAAACGTCAGTTTCACAAGGCTTTTTCAGGAATTAACCCCGAGACCCCTTACTTTCTTATTCAGTCTTTGATTGCGCGCCATCTTTCGCTTAAACACATAACCCTACTTCGAACAGATTTTTATTTTATTTTCTTTTTTTGTTAGACCGGCATCTCTGTCTCATTGTTATGCATATTGCAATGTCTTTTAGATCTTTTCTCTTCTTTTCGGCAGTGTCGGTTAAGTATCATGCATTGTACTTATTTTTCAATAGGTAAATAGTGCAACAGCGTCTATTCTTTAATCAGCTGCCGGTTCCCTTTGAAATAGTTATGGCATGCATCGTTCACGACGATCATTCACATGATACACCTATGCAAAAAAAAACGTTGTAGACCCGAGATCTAATATGAGCAATCTGAGCGCGGACTAAACAAAATGTTTGTGTTTTTATGTTTTCTAGCTAAAGTATAATGCATTAAAATTCTTTTTAAGAGGAAACTACGTTAGAGTGCAAACAGTTAATCCTTTTTAAACTATTTAGTATTGCTAAAGTTTCACGGTTATTATTATTTGCACCCTAACGTTGTTCGGGTTACTCGCCCCGTCAGATTTCAGATCAGATTCAGATCTCCAATAATCGACAATGTCTTTTGAAATAGGTGTATGCAATGCTATAAATAATAATAATAATGGGATTAACAGTGGATTCATCTTCCACTGGATTCCAATTGGAATTCAGAAGTTGATTTTTGCGGAGGGAGGAAATAAAGCAGGAGAACCCGGAAAACCCTCGAGGCACAGGAGAGAGCCAACAAACAACTTAACTAACATACAACACCGAGCTCGTCGGGACTCGAACCCGGGTCGCATTGGTGAGAAGCGAGTGCTCTCACCGCTACGCCACCCATGCTTGTATCGAGACTAATGTCGTTGAGCACCGCCTCTTTTTGTAGTTTATTTTGTAGCGTCTCTCTGTCAGTCCTTTTCTTTAGTTGCCTGGAGGCGTACACTTTGATATCATGATTTGAGGATGTTGCGCGCATTATCCTTTAGATAGATATTATTAAAAATCTACTTATGCAGTCAAAGGCTGAATTGCATTAATACGAAAATTACGATTTACTATACTGTGAATTACTTAATCTWTAATGAATAATATCTAAACTTAATAAAATTGATTAAATTTATATCGTAATTCAGTGCGCCTGCAATCATGAAGCTGTTCTCATATCTATTGGCTTTGCACACGCGCGGGAACAGTAAAACGCCTTGTTATAATCTAGCTTACACTGAGTCTGACTCAACTGTGCACCTATGCTTAAAAAGTACCGTTTCCATCATATTGTCTTTGCCTTAATTTACCTCATTTGCATTGATTGCATTGCGCAACGTCCTTTGACATGAATGCGGCGTGCATCGTGCATCGAGTCTGTTTCATTGCGCATATAAATACAGCGTCGCTTCTCCGTTTTTTCGGCTTTGCATCCTCTGATATTGTGCGCTATTGTGTGCTTTGTTATGCCGTGTGCTTACATTCTATTCTCATCGCGCTCCACCCTTTTTCTAACACAATGCGTCTTGTCTTAACGAGTATTCAAGGTGGCACTACCTTCGTATTTATGTTTGCGCGGCACCATTCAACAATTTAGGCACTATTATCGGCATTTTAAAAGCTATAATCCCCTTAAGTGAAACGCCGTCATAACTTTCGTAAGGCAATGCCATTGGTGATCCCTTATCTGAGTGCGTCAGTCAGTTGCGTAAATGACATAAGGGCAAGTGAGGATGAAAAGTTCAACTCGGGACATCAAGAAGTGAGCAAACTGTTTGCGACTTGTTAGGAAGTATAAAGGAAAAGAAAGCTGCAGGCTTAGATAACATACCCAACAAATTGCTAAAAATGTCCGCCTCTATAGTGGGACCATCTCTCACTGTGATTTTTCGACAATCTATTAAAATG